GCGAAGGTGACAAGGTCACACAATTGTCATTCTCCATAAATATGAACCAAGATCTGAGCGTGAGCCACTCGTCGTCGCAAATTGACGGTTGCACAAATCGAGGCTCTGCACAGAAGTACCGCAGAGATTGGTTTGATTAAGTTTTGCAAACGGTTTCATGTATAACTCTCGCCATTCAAGAGAACCAAGGATTGCGCTGTAAAACCCAGGGCTGCGGGTTTCTTTCGATCCCCACACCTGCCTGTTGTCATATGGGATGAGCACTATCCAACAGGCCGTGCGTCACTGCTGTGTAATGCCTGTTAAAGCATTCCCCAGCTAAACCTCTCATTTCCAATGCAGCGGCAGAAATGCCGGTTCTGAGGGCGTGTTAATGAATGCTCCAGAAAGGCCTAATCTGTTTGCAGAAGAAAGTTAAATTCACTCAAGTAAAGAGCGCAAGTTGGTAAATAACAATTTAATTTGTCCCTTCACTGGCAAAGATGCAGAGGGAAATTATCTAAGAATAAGGCCTTCACAAGTGTCTATAGACAATGGGTTGCATGGTGCACCCATCGTGACGAAGATTGGAACGGCGTAACGAACACAGGAGTAAATGTATCTCGGCCCAGCGTGCGTTTGCCCAGTGATACGACAAACAGCACTAATAGTCCCGAGCGCAAGGTGTCATGGCGTTTCAGCTCACATTCGCTGTAATAGTACACTATATTCCTCTGCAACCACAGCCCATTGTGGCTCGGTGGAGAAAATTGATAAGTGCAGCTGTAAACAAAGCTACGTCTGTGATGACAGTCAAAGCGATCTTCAGTAAACGGAGGTCAAAAAAGACTAACTCAATTTCTGCAACAAGCATGACGATGTTGGAAACAATTGAAAATTATTTAACTGAGTTACTAAAGATTGTTGATTATGTACAAACATCAAACAGGATTGTAGATTCTGAGTGACATGAAAAAACTGCACTTTCTTAACCAGTTGCAGTCATGCGGTGGACACTGTCCAAGAATATCAGATGCATTGTGGGCAGGCCTTCATATTCGAACAAGCTCCGATACTGTCACGAATGACAAATGATGAGGCGGCAAATAACTGAGGAACTAAACGTTTAATCCGGCGAACTTGCGTTCAAAACAATATAGAAGAAGCTTAGCGTCGCAGGCGTCGATGTCAGTAAAACAGCACGGTCAAACGCTGGAGCGAGACTAACATGCTAAGATACTTACGTCTTGCCCTGTTTGCTCTTCCTTCTACGATTCCCGACAACTTCACGAATGTCAGCGCGTTAAACTACACTCGCAATCGAACAGCATATGTCTCACATTTTCAGAGCCCGTCAAAGGTTTTCTTTTTTTCTAGTACAAAGTGAACAAGTAAAAAAAAAAATAATAATAATAAAAATAATTATAAAATAATAATAATAATAATAAACGTCAAAAGCCATAGAGTTATTATAATGCACGCTAGAGGTTCAACTGGCGCTAGTGTGCTGTTGCAAATTGAAGCAGACAGCAAGCAGTCCGAAATTGACTTCCGGTAATGCATTTCTACGGAAAAAAGCGAGTGCATTTCCTCTCTGCGCTCGATTATAAGAGCAAATATCAAGAATAATTCGTAAGTACTAGGCACATTAGAACATTTCCCAGACACGCAGATTAAATAATTGGTCAGTTATGGCGTTTTTATTTGATATTCGTCGCATGAAAAACGGTGCTAAAACCGCTTCGTACATGTATTTATGTGCACTGTCGGACACTGTTAGCGCGAACACGGCGCCGGCGCTTTACAGCATGGGGGTATATCGCCCCGAGATCGAACCGTGTCGCCACCGTGCGGCCGAAATTGGAAACGTGCGAAAGCGGGGATCCCGCCGTGCGTCGTCTGCTACGGGCGCACGCTCAGAAGCATGGATCTCGACGACACAAGCCCGTTTGAGGCTGAGCTTGACATTCCTTATTAAATGTTTTACGTTTTCGTTGCCGTTTCTTCTTACTAAAGGTTGTGTTGTATCGTTTCCCATGTGTAGAAATTCAGCAAAGCGATTACTATTAAGTCGGAAGCTTCCATAATCTTAGTGTGTTGGTTTGTATACAATCGCCAGTCCCACATGTTTTTTGTATCTCGCACAAACCGTGGCTTTCATAAAGCATCGAATGTTGAGTGGGTCTGCGGTTTGATTAGAAAAGTAACCCGACTGATCACTATCCTTAAATAGACTAATCAATCAATAAATCCGTATGTTGATTAACGTCTTTCACTCATATTGAGTGAAAGACGTTAAAACTACACATTTGTTTGCTGGTTTTACTATATGCCATAAATGACATATTGCATTCCCATTCTAAACTTCACGTTGTGAGTCCTACATAAATATGAACACGGGAAGCCTTTTAAAATGAAGTTTTTTTTTAAAGTTATTATTTAAACCATATAATCACCCTCGGCGAAATGACAAGCACGCTGAAGTGGTTTACCGTGCAAGCCTGTGTCACAAAAGAAATAGAGACGTCAAAAATATTAATGCAGGCATTTTTTACTCCTTGTTGACTTTCTCCAGCACAAGACTCCAATTAACTGGCAAAAAAAATGCAATTAAAGCATTACTTGATTAATCTGAAAGTTAATCGATGAACTGTCCAGTTCCGATGTACGTTAGGTGAGGGCGGAGGGTGATCGGAAAGTCTCGTGAAGGTCGCTAGCCCTCATCAATAAAAGAGTATCACTGCGATTGATGCTGTCTGTGTTGTGGTGTGCGTTGTGTGTTTGGGTTGCAAAGTCTACCGTGTTTGAATACAAGATTATTTAGCCAGATATTTATAGTATTAGCCTTTTGACATCCGCGGCGCTCACCAAAAAAATTCAAGCGGGTGAACCCACACTACCGAGAAAACCATTTAATAATCGGAACATTGCTGCGTTGCTCGGTTACACTCTTTTATTACAGTCTCGGCAGATATATTAGAAAAGTTTGTTTCAGTTGTCCTGCCAACTGTGCAGCTTGCAGATCTTAACTAGAAGAGACACTCTCTCCTCATCGCAACGCATTCGATTTATCAGACACCAAAGAACCTACCCACACTATGGCACAGTAAAAGGGCAGAGGAACTTAATAGCATGGTAATTTCCATTACAGCGCTAACTTATCTTCATTCTTGATTATTATATTACTGCAAAAGCTAGAAGTTAAAAAAACAAAGCACAGAGGCTGCGATTTCACAGCCCACAACACCAGTATTTTGTTATCTGGGTTGGAATTTATTATTTTTTTTAATTCCCATGTTGATGAACCGATACATCCATTTTAAAATAAACAAATATTTAGCATAAATATTCCAGTTCGGCCGGAGACAGGCATCAGTCGTGGTTATCCATGCTTTTTAACGTCTGCCTAGAGCAGACGACGCACACACAGAGGCGATTATAAAAATTTAGGCCGCACGCTGGCAACACGATTTGATCTTCACTGAAGCACCGAACAGTACCGCATCCTTTTCCGCTAGAATTGTTTTGCCACCGATAGTATGCGACAAAATAAACGCAAGAATCTACGCCGTCTCGCGCGCGAACGTGGAGAGCCTATGGGGCGGCCGTTCTCCTATCCCCGCTTTGATGATGATGATAGCGCGACCATAGCGCCACCTCTAGGTCGATCTCGAGGCCAATACGTGCCAAACGAACGAAGGACATGTGGAAAACCAAGAGAGCTACGGCAAGAACTACGCAGTAACACTGGATAAGTAACTCTTTGTGCTTGCAGATGATGAAAATAAATTGAAAGTTACGTAATATAGTCCGATTTGCAATAAATAAGTACTGCTTTATCCTTTCTGCTCATGAATACATGCGAAGATGCTTGTTCTGCGTTCAAATCATCACCCGCACGCTCCAAATCTTTGCAAATGGGGGAAGCCAGAGAACAGGTGCCCGATAAAAACTGCCCAACATAGGAAATAATAAGAAAATACACCTTTCGTAGCCCACATACTTTATTCTTTACGTTTGGAACGTTTTTTTTAACCCCTCGTAAAGGTGCACGCCGGGGTCATTTTTATATACTGAGAGGACAGGCATATATTAGCAATATATAAGCACCAACGGAATGCTGCCGAACTTTAAACACACTCTACATTCCTTTCGATCGTTATTTTGCTTGGAATCGACGCTCGTTTCTACATACCTGCCATGAAACAGAGGTTTGGGCCTGAAATATAGCGAAGTTTAACATCGTTCAGTGGTAAAGGAAAAATGCTGTAACTAAAGCAATTACACTTTCAAAATATTAATAAAGATACATACTATCCGGTACAACCGAAATAACAAAAGTTATTAATGTTATTTTCCGGCGACGAGGATACCCGGACCAGGCGGATTTTTTCGGTCGCTCACCAGTCACCTAGCTGTGTTTGGAGATTTATGTTTGTCCCTTGTCCCTCTTGTTCCCCTTCTCCAGGGATTACTTTCATCATTATTGTCCAGCTCGCTTGCCCCTTTGCATTTAATTGCTTTATAATTATAACAAAATTCACGCGCGTTCTCCCATAGGAATACACAGGAAGACAGGAAAAGTAGACTGCATGCTGTCTGCTTCAATTTGCAACCGGAAGTCCCGTAGACACTAGCGCCAGCTGAGCCTCTAGCGTTTATTATAATAACTCTATGTCAAAAGCGGGATCCGAAACGTTTCCAGCGGACCTCGAGAGATTAGCGATAATAGAAACACAATTCAAAAGCTATTATACGATGGTTACACTCGGATCTGACTAACCGAGCTGCTTTCCGAATGATGCTCCTTGATCCGGCAAATAATGCAGGAAGGGAGCAGCTGCACGTTGTAAAAGAAATGGGATTGATTTCAGAGCTCACGTTCGAAACGATGAACCAACGGACACAACTTTTTGAGAACGAACAAACATTGCCGCCATTGCCGCCATTGCCGCCTGGGAGCCTGGGATTTCAAATTGATTTCCGGTATGACTTCCGGTTCTCTTGCCCTGCCATCTGATGAGAGCGAGAAAAGGTTCGAGAAATGTAACCGTAAATGCGTAACCAAAAATTTTCATGCAACGAAATGCGAAAACCGTTAATAAAAAGTTATCATTATTACGTTTTCCGATGCGCAGTGTCACGCTCTGTTGACCGACCAAAAAAAAGTGGCGGCAAGCGCGGGAAGTTTAGCAGACGACAGTTGAGCGTCTCTTGGGAATCCCGCTCTGCGACCGCCACTCGACTGCGCCCTCACGAAAATGTCTTCCGAAGACCTGCCTCGTTTCAGCCTCATCCGAGAATACTTCTCGGATGAAGAATGGAACACCATGTCATTCTACGTGAAATCAAGGATGACAAATCTCAAGGAAAACTACGATCTTCTCCTAGGAATGGGTGAGCGTTGGCAGCTGAGCCTCTGAAAAAAGCGCGTCTGCGAATTCGGGGAAAGGGATGGCTGCGAAGAATAATTTGTGACATAAAAGTATTTATTAGTAATCGATACTTTACATTAGGATACCAGGCCTGAACACCGGGTCCCCGGTATATTGTAGCCTCAGCACCGAGGTCCGCTGTTAAATGCAGATGCTCGGCAGTGACAACGGCAAACCCTAACGGCAAACCCTCGTGAGGTTAAGTCTGTGCTTATGCGAAGAGCAAGTCGCTTCTTCGGCAGCAGTTGCGGCGACCTCAGAACGACGCCTAGCTCTGATTGGCTCTGAATGAAGGATAGTGGGTAGACCTCGAGGCAGCTTGCTTTGAGTTCTACCCACTGTCCTTCAATTGGAGCCAATCAGAGCTCGGCGTTTTTGTGACGTCACCACAACCCCTGCAAAAGAAGCAGACGAACTTGCGATCCGCATTGTTTCTTCACCCGACAACCAAATATTGCAGGCGCTACAAAGTGCCCCCCCCCCCCCCCCTCTTTCCAATAGCCCCCCAAAATTATATACATTTATTTTACAAATTTTGTTTTGTTTTTTCTTAACAGAAAAACGAACTACGCCTCGACGAGCGTTCGTTCTCCACCCAAATATAGCGCTAGTGGTCTGAACCAGACGACAAAGTTTAAGAACTCTCCCCGTTATCTTATTCAAAAGTTAATAGTGATTTTCTGAAATTTACAGCGGGAAAATGGCTGCCGGTGGAGCTCTCGAACACATGGAGCTGAATGGCGTCAGTTACCGAAAATGGGCGCCATTTTCCAATCGAAATTATCAGAAAATCACTTATAGCGTTTGAACGAGATGATTAATTCTCAAACTTGGGTATCTGATTAGAACCTCTCGCGCTACATTTGGACGAAAAAAAAATTTTTTTGCTGCAAAAAAAAGAAGGGGGTGGGGGTTGCGTCATCTTTCAGGCAGCGTGGCTTTAGGCAGTCGGCCTTTTGTAGCAGGAAAAATATTCATGATTTGGAGCAGCCACTGACGCTTTTGGAGCAGATGCCATCGTATGTTAGCACATCACTTGAAAAAAGAAAACGCGACTCCATCGCTAAATGCGTTTATCTTTGATAATGATTGAGGGTTCCTCTTTGATGCTGAAGCATATTACCTACCTTTTTCTAATAAGAATAGGTAGGGCACAAAAGGAATTCACAGGGCCTTTTCTTAAGAATAAGGCGGAGGTCACAGTAAGTTTCATTTACAATGAGTATTAAAAACAGGATTTAAAAATGAATCATAGTGCAACATTTTATCGGGATAAAGACTCTTCCTTTCTCTTTTACGGGTAGTTACTATGCCTATATACATAATTTGTGCAAAATTCCGGCAAATACCAGCCTATCTGCTATCAGGAATGATGTGTAATATATCATAAACTGAAGAAACAACCATCTACAACTACTATGAAAACCTACACTCGTGCATTAACACTGACAATGCTCTTTGGCGACGTTGGAGCCAGAGTCAAGTCAAAGTTTGCCGCTATTTCGTTAGACAGGAACTACATTGACTACCGTATCTATTGAAATATACATTGGTGTTTCTTAAATTTTATCGGCAAATATTTTTATAATGAGGGGTTTACCGAGATTTAAGACAAAAAAGGTGGACCTGTAAAACTAGCGAACATAAGTTCAGAGCCTGTCACGACAAACCAGGCGCTCCCCCGTGTCAGCCGCTGCTCCTAGCACTCCGGTGCAAACCGGCGAAGACCGACGCAGGCGCTGGTGAGAGGCGCTGAAGGTTGACGGAAGCTGCCCAAGGTGCCGTGGTGCACTGGAACCACGGCACAGAGCTATGTGCCACACATGATAACTAAAGGGGCGACGCAACGATCTATGTACCGCTTAGAACGTATACCTCACGTTAATGACCTATGAGACGCATTCGATTCTCACCCCGTGCAACTGAAGTCGCAGAAAAAAAAATAATTAAAAGAAAAACGAGCACGTTTGCCTATGCAACTCGCAGCCAGAACAAGCGGCCTACGTGATCTGGAACCGATTATATGCCGCTAGTGTTGATCACAGCCACGCGCTGGGGTTGGCGAAGCACAGGACACGCACTGAGTTCCAGACGTTGTTGTAATTCGTCTATCGTCGTCATTGCAGCGATTGGACACGGGGCAATACCCGAATGCTTGTAGAATCAGCTGTTGAATATCACGAGCCCAAATTGAGTGCTCCCTCAATGCATGAGTCCAATCTATGAGCCACATTGAAATGCCAACACTGGAGGGTACTGCGACACGTCAGCTGCGTCATCAAGTTTTCCGAAGGAGATATTGAGAGAAAACGCTCGCATTTGTCCTTGAAAATACACCGCAACAAAGGAGTTTCTTGGTCATTCGTTGCGTGTGAGTATACAGCTGTGACCCACTAGTGCCAGTAAGCTCGTGTAAAGTGAAAATTATTACAAGCGAATGTCTCTGCACAGCCCCTTCAAGTGCTCTAGCCAGGAGTGCAGGAACCTGGTTCTGGCTGATCACAGTAGCCGCCATCGCACTTTTTTTTTTTCGCGACTTTTAGCTTTTGACATTGCCGACATCGTCTGGAAATTTAGACGCTATCGGCGATCAACCGTCCAGCGCATCAACCGGCCAGCACAGTTCACGAGCAACCTTTATACTTCGTTTCGTCTTAAAACGCAAGCCGACGCTACGAACCAAGCGGACACATCAAACAGCATCAAAGCGCGACATCGTGGTATTCGTCTGCACACGTTTTTTCATGGGTAATACCAATAAAGTGCAGTGCGTGGTAAGCAACATAATTAAAACAGGAGACACGGAAACAGGAAGGACACACACACCACCGTCTTGCTATTCACCAGTGAATGTCCCATGACTAGCGCTTTTAGTATGTGCGGTTGTATGTGGTCGAGTTTTCGAACTCTGCTGTGACCTAAGATGACACAAATATGCGGTAAGTAGAGACGCTGTAACATACATATACGATATGGATTTTTTTCAGAGCGCAGCTCTTAGGCGCCCATTTCCGACTTGAGCGGCGTCGCCGTCGGCGTAACCGCGCGTTGCGTCATGGGAAATGTCCCACAATGCACCGCGCAAGACCCTCGGGACGTCGAGTAAAGTCACGAGGGTCCCGCGCGGTGCATCATGGGACATTTCCCGTGATGCAACGCGCGGGGGGGGGGGGGAGGAGGGAGAGGATGACGAAGGGGAGTGGAGGTGGAGGAGGAGGGCAGAAAAGGGATGATGGGAGGAGGAGGGATGAGAAGAAGGAGAGGGGGAGGAGGATGAGATAAGGGGAGGAGCTTGAAGGATGTTAGGAGGAGGACGAACAAGAGGAGGGGAGGAGGAGTAGCAGGGAGGATGAGGAGGAAAGGTATATACCCTTTCCTCAGTACCCTTTCCTCCTCTTCCTCAAGAGCTGCGCTCTAATTCGGTGTTAAGCGCGAGACACATGGACGGCACAATCTTCCGACCCGACAGTCCCAACGCCGCTCCGAATTGTCGCACGCAACAGTTTGAGACACGTGCTTTCGACCTTGAATACGACGCGACGATCCTTTCGGCTCCGCCCAGGAAATCTCTGGTCCCAGATTGACGGTTAGCTCGCACGAGTGAAATTACGAGCTCGTTCTCGCTAGTGCGTGCATTCTTTGCTGCGGTCATCTTTCTCGGATGGGTCAGCGGGATTCACGCGTCGGGCTTCCCCTCGCTCGTCCTGATATCGTGTTCGTCCGCCAAACCCAGTACGTCATCATGACGTTCGCGCTAGCTGCGCTGCCATTGGCTGGGCGCTTCCGACACTCCGTCCGCCGTGCGAAACTATCTGGCATGCTGGACGCACGCCGGATCGCCGATCCGACGTGTGAAGCGACCAAACTTTTCGGAGCAGGCAGTCGTATTGCTAGATTGGACGTCTGATCGGATGGATTTTTATCGCGTATGTGTCTCGCGCTTTACAGGGTGTTGAAAACGTCTTTCATTTTTAATGCTTATGAAATGTTTAGAGAGAAGCCGTGAAAACTACACTTATGCGGTTTGTGCAGGTGAGTAATAAGGCCTGAAGGACATAGTTTATGGGGCTAATCGTAACAATCTTTGATTAATTAAGTAAAATTTGGTCATAAATTTTTAATTAGAGAAACTATTCATATGGTTTCAATTAGAAAGTTGCTGAACGTCATCGAAACCAAGTAAATCACTAATTAAAAAAATGAAAGCCGTTTACAAATTCCTGTAACGCCGAATTGGAGCGCAGCTCTTGAGGAGGAGTAGGGAAGGGTACCGAGAGGGGTCACGTGACTTCGGGGGGGGGGGGGGGGGGGTCACGTGACCTCGGGGGGGGGGAGGGGGTCACGTGACCTCGGGGGGGGGGGAGGGGGTCACATGACCCACCCCCCGGTTACGCCGACGCCGACGCCGCTCAGGCTGGAAACGGGCCCCTAAGAGCTACGCTCTAAAAGGAAAGACGTTTACAACTCCCTGTAACGCCGGATTAGAGCGCAGCTCTTGAGGAGGAGGAGGGAAGGGTACCGAGGGGAGGGTATATCCTTCCTCCCTCGTCCTCACCTCCTCATCCTGTCTGCTGCTCCTTCCTCCGAGCGGCGTCGCCGTCGTCTCACGAGGGTCGCGTGACCCCTATGAGGACACGTGACAATGACGATGACGTCATCAGTGACGTCACTGATGACGTCGTCAGGGACGATGACGATGCGGATGCCGTCATCAGTGACATCACTGATGACGTCATCAAAACGATGACGATGCAGATCACGATGGCGTCATCAGTGGCGTCACTGATGACGTAACCAGTGACGTCACGCGTCCCATAATGCACCGCGCGGTTACGCCGACGCCGCTCAAGCCGGAAACGGGAGCTTAAGAGCTGCGCTCTAGAAAAAAGACTGAGTGAGTGAGAAGCGTGCGCTAAAGCTACCAGTCGTGCAGCAGAGCGAGGCTACCTGTGCGATAATGCGCCTGCGCGATTTTTCCGTCTCTTATCATAAAGCCCGAGCCTTGTACCTGCTGCACGTGCGGTAACTTTAGAGCACCACTGAGCTTCTCACACGTTCGAGGTCTTTCTACAAATTACTGATGTCGTAGCTTTCAATGACGCTCAGCAAGTTTCGAATTGGAACCATATGTCAATGTTCACCAATGAAAATGTCAATTAACACATTCTGCTCAATTAGCCGCTCTGTCCGTACAACTGAACTGCGCAAATTGCATAATTGTTGTATTCACGTCTTTTTTTTTTTTAAACAAATCTGTTAGGGGTGAAGAAATAAATAAAAAGAAAGACATAAATAGCCTGCCTAACTTTTTGTATACCCGAGACTGAAAAAAAAAAAAAAAATTGGGCTTGTGTGTCGTCCACTTTTTGTTCCACGTCTTAGGTGTTCGCTATGTGTAAAGTTTACAAGCTCGCCTGTATCTTCTCTGTTATTCCTACGCATGTATTTGCACCATTTTCCTTTGCTCCCACTTCTTTGAATATCGTGGAATGTCAATAACAATATATTTTTATGTCTTGCATTTCCCATCTCAGCGCAAGTGCGTCGCAAGGATTAGCGAGAAATGTCATTCTGGCGCAAAGTGTAGCAGACTTCCTGTCATCGCGCAATTCGGCCCAAATGACGCAGCACTTCCCTCACAGAAAATGTGTTTGTATCAAATGTCTGGGCTCCATGAAACTGACAACAAAGGCTCGGCGAGTTCAGTCGCTGCCTTGGATCCCCCTTGCACTCGAAGAAGCGATGGCAGTGTGATGAACTTGAATGAGGTTCTTCCACAGGCTGCACTCCACCGGTGCCCGACTTCATCAAGCCCAAGCCCTCATCAAGACCTGGATCGGCAGGGACAAAGCGTAAGTTCGGAAAACGGAAAATGTCAGGCAGGGATGTCAGGAACGCGTCGAAAAACACAAAAAAAAACTGCTGTATCGAAAAAAAGAAAAAAGGCGCACATAATTTTTTTGGTGGATGTACGACATTTCAAGCATCAACGAAAAATAATTTCCACATGCTCGTCGCTTCGAAGGCTCGACAGGGGTTCTATGGTTTCGAAGTTTATTCTTAGTAAATTTTAAATTGTGTTTTAGGGGTTTATTTTTCGCCAAAAAATCGTGGTTTTTCGAAATTTATGTTCGCTATATTCCTAATTCTCCGAGATTCGGAGTTTGATAATTCTGCGCTCCCTCCTACCAAGATTCCTTTGAAATACAATCGATTTTTTTTATTTGCCCTCAGGACTATATAATAATTTTTTCGGATAAATCTGAGGTAGCCAAACTTTTTCCGCCTAGCGTTTTTTTTTTTGTTTTTTTTTTTCAGTTCTTCGGATATATCTAAAAACACTGAACTGTATGCTTAAAACTTGTAAATTAGATACGCAAATGAACACTCGAAAGGTATACAAAAAAAAAATTAAAAGAAAGACCGAAACACAATATTTTCATTTTTTTTTTTTTAGGCGAGTTCCACGTATCTCGCTTCTCTTTTGTAAACGCCGAAGATTTCAGGGTTACCCGCATAATCAGTCGCAATTTTTTTCGATTCGTCTTACAGAGGCCTCGACCACTGCCGCCGCAGCACCATCCGGGAAGGAGAACAGGCCCCCCAAGGTTGGTATCATGACGTCACCGAATGGAGGCCAACGCAGGGCAGGGGTATCGGACGGAAGTGCTGCCTTAGCGTTCGGCCGAAGCTGTGCCGCGTTGGCCTCATTTCGATGACGCGGAAACTTAAGAATCACGGCCTTGCGCCACGGCGGCTCGTGCGACGCAGTTTTGTGCCCGACTTGGCGACACGTTCTCTGCATCAGTCAGTTGGGTGAATGGGTGGACGATTGTGGCTGAAACCTGTTAATCGAGTGGCGTCTGTTGCGCCACCTAGACAAAGCTTTTATTTCAACACTAAACTCACGACCACGGTGCCACAGGACCGGAGTAAAAAACAGGACGGACAAATCAAAGCTCCAGCTTTGTGTTGTCCGTCCCGGTTTTCTTCCGCCCCTAGGATACCGTGTCAGTATTGAACCAGCTGGCCTGCACACCTACTTTAGTTTCAATTATCCAATCTCCAATCTAAAAAAAGAATACAAAAACAGTGAGGCTCCACTTTTCAACCGGATACTTCTACATGCTGAAGTAATAGCTAGGGCGATGTAAAGCAACCCATATCACTGCGCTGCATGCATTTACTCTTCGGTCATACGTGCACTGCACAGCCGCGACTGATCATGCAAAATTCATGACTATGACGTCAGTTGACGTCATGGCCGTCGTCACGTGCTCCGCCCTTTCAGAGCGCCGTGGCGGGAGCAGCGACGCCCCTGCAGCGAGGAAGTTCCCGCCTGGCTTCGAGGCCCTGCGTGAAGCCACTCTTCGCTGCGCAGGAGAAGCAGGAGGAGGAATACGGTACGGGGACCCGCTAAGTGCTTGACGCGGGAGTATTCACTATGAATATCTTCACCGTTATTGTCATCGCATCTTCGTTAATGACGGGAAGTGTCAATTTCCCTGAATGTTAAATTGCCATCATTACAAGATTTGAGGAAACCAACCTGACGAGGACTAGCAAGGTGGAAGCCATGGGAGAGCGCTGTGTGTATTTTTAGGCAGCGTGAAGTTAGTTACCCCCAATGGTGCGACTGGTATGTCCGCTGTAGGTGACAAATTTACCGAGTTCGATAGCACTGCTAGGTCGGGATCTTTGACGCGTGCAACGGGCCTTAGTGACAGACGACCGCCTGCAGGACCGATGCTCATCCAGATCAAAACGGGCAGGGGTGGGCATATAAACCCAGAATCCACGGGTTATGCGGCGTGCATTAATTATTGTTCGATGCACAAGCTTGTTTGGGGCAAGTGTCATATCGGAATTCAGAAATTCATGGGGGGAGGGGGAGGCGGACCGCCCCGAGTGCCGCTGACCCTAGTGACGCCACTGGACCCAACGCATCAGGGCATCGGATGAACGGTTCATTTGGTAAGGGGTGACTTTTCTTCGTCCGGTGACGTGCGCAGATCCCGGAGAGGGCACCTCGAGCCAGACGCGGTACCCGAAGCGCAGCCGCAAGTCCGTCAACTACGCCGAGTGCGAAGTTCCCTCCGAGGACGAGTTCTTCTGTGAGTGTCCACAAGTCGGAAACTACTCGGACAAGAGACTTGACCCCTTTCCTCGATGACTCCCCATGCTAACTTGAAAACTTAATTCAATATAATGGGGCAACAGAAGTGGGTTGTTCACTGCTGTCCGTTGTGCAGACTGCCTGGAGTGCGGCGAAGACCGGCACGGCGACTGTCCCGTCCACGGACCCCTCGAGTTCGTCAAGGACACACCGGTGAGAAATTTCTACGACTTCCTCGGTGTCTGGCGCGCATCGAGGAGGCATTGTGAGCTTTTGAAATGGCAGGAGGGCGGGGAAGAAGCGAAGACACGGAGGAAGCCATCTGTGTTGGGACAAGAGGGACTTCATGGCGTGATCGAGTTTTCACTTTCGGGTCCGGGCGTTACCTATGTACGTCGATAACCTCCCTTGAATTCCGCGTGCTACCCGGGAAAGTATACACGCGGGTTTCGGTTGCTCCAGCACCAGACTGGACATCCAATGATAAGAATCTGCGAAATCTAGTGTGCTACTATTAAGTCATTATCCAGACTGTACATCGGAGACAATACACTTCAAGAACCGAGCGTCTATATTTTAGTGATTACATTGGAGGATATCCAGAAAACCCTCGATGGAAACCATAAAAAAGTCTAATTATCTGCTACCATAATATTCTGTCAGTGTCATTGAAGTGAACCATACCAAAAGTGGTATTCCCGCCTGCAAGTCTCCTAGTTTTAGCGTAGCTGGATGTGTCAGGAAGTATCCGATCCTCGAGCGTCCTATACATATCACGGGTTTGCAATCACAGCCCGAAATGCTTACAGATTTTGTTTTAGTACATATTTTCTGTTAGATTTACAAAATCACAACTGAAACCGAAGTTTTGTCGCCCCGTTCGAAAATAAGTAATAGTGCAAACAAATACACGTTCGTTTTTGTCATCCTGGCTGACAAAGTCCTTGCAGTACGTAAACTCTCTTTACATATTACTTGTAACGTCATATCCATCCCCTCCGATTAATTCAGGTTCCCCCGGGAGACCCCCAGCGGGCGAACAAGACCCTGCCCGAGGGTCTGACGCTGGCCCGGTCCTGCATCAAGGGGGCCGGGAAGGGGGTCTTCACCCTCAGGCCCCTCCCGGCCAGGCTGTGCTACGGGCCCTACGAAGGCGTGCGCTTCACCGGCTCCGGCGGGGGCAACGGATACACCTGGAAGGTGCAGTGCTCCCTGTGGGCTGCGTGAGCATGCGTGAACTCGAAGGGTCTGAACCTGAAAGGGAGGATGGAATTGTCGGGGTACACACTATAGAATACCATACTCCCTTATGGGTGTAGCTGGTCTCAAGGATAACATCCTAAGGGTGTTACAGGAACAAGTTTAGAGCGCTAGAAAAGACGCTAATACTTTGTGCTCTGGCGGTGCGGTATCCTAAAGATACTTTTTTACTAGCAACAATGTGCAAGCAGCACGCATCACCTTCAGGTTGTACTCGCACAGATAGCACAAAAAGTCGCCAATTCAGAGATACCCATTCCAACATGAGCGCATCCAAAATTACGGAAGTTACAAGTAGGTTTCTTTGTTCTCGTCAGTACCTCAGTTATAGCATAAGAACTCGAAGTTCAAGAAATGTATCCCCAAGTAAACACTAAATCAATGATAATCTGATTTAGTTGCCAAAACAATCTCCTTGAAATGCTTCAGGCGGGTGTAAAAGTGGTGCGTCACCGCGTGCACTTGCCCGGATCCAGGTGCGTGGCCGGGGCGGCTACCTGGTGGACGCCCGGCCCCTGTCGGAGTCCAACTGGATGCGCTACGTCAACTGCGCCCCCAGCGAGAAGAGCCAGAACCTCGTGGCCTTCCAGCACAGGGGAGGCGTCTACTACCAGACAAAGGCCAAGATAGCGCCGGGGACCGAGCTGCTCGTCTGGTACGGGGACGAGTTTGGCGCCGAGCTAGGACTCGTCGAAGCCAAGGACGGAGCCCAGAAGAAGCGTGAGTGGGGGACATCGGATGGGCAAGGATAGGCTGAGTTTCGAAGTTTGTCATTGCAATACAAATTGTCAGGAGTGCACTATTTGTTGTGGAATCACAATGCATAAAAATAAAAAAAAAGTATTTTTTTTTGTTTTTTTTTTTAAATTGGGATTTGAAGGTACGGTACTCTCCTGAGATATAGTCCTCCTAGAATAGATAAAAAATTGTATGAAAATGAGGAGTGGTCTACCTGTCGGTGTGCAGTCCATAAAAGTTGAAAACACAAATGCTATTTTTAGATAATGTGTCTATCAGACATGTTATCCCGGCGAGGGGGCAATGAAACAGAGAGTACTGTACTTCCCAGTCAGGAATGTTCGCTTATATATCCTGCCCTAGCTAACAGGGCGCATTTACGCCAAGGGCATCATTGATCCGAACGCTACGATTAGTAAGCGTGGGCTATCTTTCGGTGTTTTAAAGGGGAGGGGGGGGTGCAGCGATTTCCGGACTTCGGTCAAACACTTGTGGAAGTTGCCCTCTGACAATCCTAAAGTAAAGAACAGAAAACCAATTTCGACTGCGTGTCAATAGTTGTTATGTAAAAAAAAAATAAGAAAAAATCAGTATTTCCAATTTTGGCACCCCTCAACTCACTCCCAGTCTTCGGTCTCACCTGGTCCCCCTCCTTGTGACGTAATTCGGCGTGCAGTGTAGCTTCCCCTGTGCTCTCTCGGAGGACGCTTCCTCTCTCTCTCTCTCTGCTGACATTAGCGCGCGTTATGCTGCAGCTTAGAGCCGAGCGAGGTCACGTAATCTTTTCGCCGTAGTTCCTTAGGCTGCCACTCGTTGCTGCAGGTGGGGGGAAAAGCTTGATTTTTGCTTTGCGATTATGCAGCGGAATCGCGACATTTTTTAATGAAGGAGGTGTTTTCTATGACCTCCAGGACATGATAAACAACGTAAAAATTACGAGATGCATATTCTTTTAATCTTAAAATCGTTGAACCCCCCCTTTAAAAGAAAATAACAAATCCATCCTAAAATGGGGGGAGGGTCACCTTTCGGGGAGGGGTATCTCGGGAATTTACGGTAGTGTCCCCCCTTAACTCTCTGCCCCCCTTGCCTTGCTCGTCCATGTGCAGACCAAGAAGAGGCACCGTCCCTCGAGGGGCCAGCGGAGAGCTTCGCGTGCGGGGACTGCGACAGCGTCTTCGCTTCCCTCGAGCACCTCCAGGGACACCGGAAGAAGATGCACGGGAGGAGAGAGGGCAGGCACCGATGCGGTCACTGTCCCTACTCCAGCGATAAGAAACCAGACCTAGTCAGACACGAGCGCACCCACACGGGAGAGAGGCCCTTCGAGTGCGGCACCTGCGGCAAGGCTTTCACGATACAGTACAGCTTGACCACGCACCAGAGGGTGCACACGGGCGAGCGGCCTCATGAGTGCCCCGAGTGCGGGCAGAAGTTCGCTCAGCTGGCAAACTTGAGGACGCACGAGAGGACGCACAGCGGAGAGCGGCCCCACGTCTGCCCTGAGTGTGCGAGAGGATTCGTTGAGAGAGGTCACCTCGCAAGGCACAGGCGAACCCACTCCGGCGAGAAGCCCTATGCCTGCCACCTGTGCTCCTACAGGACCTCTGATTTAAGCTACTTGAAGAGCCACGTGATTCGGGTGCACTCAAAAGAGTATCCCCACAAGTGCGGGGACTGCGGCAGAGGGTTCCTGCTCCCTTGCGAACTCAGAAACCACATGAGGAGGCAGCACTCCTCCGACGACCAGGAGCGGTAGATGGACTCCGTGATGGGGGAGGGGGGAGGGCACCGGGTCCTAACGACACTGGGGAAACCCGAAGACAAGGGTGACACCGGCGAGTTCTTCTTTTGCTTTTTAATAAATACATTGTACATAGAATTGGCATCGGCTTAATGTTTTCCACGAGCGTATCGTCTAAAAGGGCCACGTTGCCCAACCGTGGGTGTAAGGGTCGACGAAGGCTCTCCAGTGGGCCGTTAGCACGAGAGGGACTTGGCTGGTATATATGAAAGCGTTGGCGAACAGTTCCCGCGGTGGTGGGCGACTTCGAGAGACGGGCGTATACTTTGCCGACGCGAGGTTCAAAACGCGGGCATTCACCCGAGAGAACCGGAACGTGCATTTCTGACAGGGAGACGTATCGGAGAGTTCGGTGGTTGGATGGGCAAGTGCCGTGATGGAAATGCTGCGTCATCCGCGGAAGATTGCTGCATGAAGTGAACTCTGCTGCATCTTGCGCCAAAATGCCATTTTTGTTAAGAATTGCGCCAAACCTGCCCCGAGACAGGCTTAAAGCAAATATATATATATATATATATATATGTATATATATATTGGTCGACCGCAATATTCAGAGAAGTAGAAGGAAAGAAATATTGTACAAATACGAACTTCACAGCGTCTCTACTCGCAGTATAGTTTGTTCCGTCTTAGATCAGAATAAATCCGAAGACTCGAACACATATAACCACAGACACGCATGCTAACAGCACAAGTCACGCGACATTGATTGGTCTAGCCGATGAAAGAACACGTACAAGGAGATGACGAATGCCAGGATGTCGCGCTTCGAGGCTGCCAATCAACCGGCCAGAGACGCTGATGCTGGACATCAAGCGCTCTGGCCGGTTGATGCGCTGGCGGGTTGATGGCCGACATCGACTAAAGTTCCAGACGATGTCGTCGATGTCTGGAACTAAGAGTCCCCGAAAAACCTTTTGCATACTACATGAAAGGAAACCAGGGTCTTGCACTCCTGCTAAGGTCGCTTGATTGTACCGTGGCAATTGCGCGTCTCAGCAACGTGACAGCGTGGAGCTTCACCGATTAGCACCGGAGTGCTAGGAGCAGCGGCTGACACGGGGAAGCGTCTGGCTTAGCTCGATAGGCAGGCACATTATGGTCAGGATGATTACGAGGCGAACTTCTTTGTCCCAATTGTGAGTGAATCTCCAATTAAAAAGAAACAGATAAAGAGAGAAGGGAACACGAGTCTATATATATTTGAATAAATACGGGAGTCACGTTAGTTTCCGTGCAGCTGTCGAACGAAAGAACGGCGAACTTTGACCTGACTCTGGTTCCTACGCCGCTAAAAAAACAGTGTAGACTTTAAAGCGCAAGTGTAGTCCTTTATAGTATTGTTGGTTGGCTGCTTTTGTAATTTAAAATATTACAGTGTTGAGTTTGGCAGGTTCATTAAACTTACGGGACGCATCTTTATTGGTAGACGTGTTAGCGGATATGCTGGTTCTTGCTGGCATTAAAAAATTATATTTACAAGCTAAACAAACTACCGAGTGTAAAATGAAGAGGGGAGAGAAGATTCAATCCACTACGCTACGATACACTTTTCAACCATTTTTAATACCCACTGTAAATGAAACCTCTGACTAGAGCCTTATTTAAGACTGTGTTCCTTTTATGTTCTATCTAATTTTTTTTTTCTACAAACAGTAATAAGTAATATGCTCGAGTGTCAAAGAGAAACAGTTGATTACTATCATAAATGAACTCATTAAGAGATTCAATCAGTTTTTCATTCTCGAGTGATCTGCTAACAGATGTTGGCATCTTCTGCAAAAGCGTCAGTAGCTGCTTCAAACCAATATTTTCCCTGCTACAGAACCTGCTACAAAAGGTCAAATGCCGATTTCATCACTGGCCATGCGCAGGTCGTGGGGTCTCAGGCGGGAAACTTCAGCAATTCCCCCACTGTGGGAAAGTGGGGCGATTGGTTGCGGCCTCTCGGCCACCGGGAAACGCCCGTCTCATGACCCGTCGGGGAATCGCCGGTCCACCAAAAGAGGGCGGGCCAACCAGTGATATTTAATGAGAACGCAGCAAGTGGGAATCGTATCACGAACGAATGAACGAGTTTTAGTTGGTGCTGGAGCTTCAGAGCTCACGCTCCGTAATCGAGCCTCGTCAAGGGACTTCGAGGGACAATGGCCCCGTAATCGGAATTTAATCCTACGAGCCAGCCAACTTCCGAGCTCACATCCGAGCACGTCCTTCCCACCTCCCACTAGAGAGTAATCTTTGCAGCTCAGTTTCGCTTATATATCTTTATTCGTTACAAAAGTAATACATCGTTTATATAAAAGTAACCCACTCCTACAGAGTTAGTAGGCGCTGTCAAGAGAAGCAACTTGGCAAGTACCGCCCATCTTCCCACAGCGAAGTTCGTCAGCCGATCCGGACCTCCCGCGGACGACGCAAAGTGTGCACCAAGGAACCCCTTCTGTGGACCTCGATCTTGCTGGAGAGATACGCGTCCCCAGTGCTTAGTTCATGGCAAGCGTAGCTCCCACTCCATTGCATTTCTTCATCTCAAGAACTGCCTGGAAACGAGCTGGCGAAGGAAACACAGGCCTTCCTTTAGGGCGAACGAAGGTAAGAGCGCAGTTACATTGGTTACAAGGTCCTTTGAAATTTCACATTATTTGTTCCAATAAATATTTTACTGGGGTTCAGTTTGTACATTGAAATATTTAAACGGAAATCTTCTATCTTGAAGAAATACTTCTCTGCAGTACGTCACATCGGCAGTGACAGACTTGCCAAGCAGAAGTCGTTTCTCAAACATGCTAGCTTCATTATAGCGTAAATTGTGTAGCACTGATACACAACACGACGTTAAGGATAAAGGCTACACGCCTTGTACTATCAAAGTCTTTGACTCACTATACTTTGAGTTGCCTTAGAATGCCTTGCCTGGGCCGAGTCACAGCCCCTAGCCTTCCCCTGAGGTTCATCACAAGATGAAACGAAGTCTTAACGTAAAAAGAGAGTGGAGGCAGGTTACGGACAAAGGATGCCGCCGCGCACGATAGAGCTTCCCTCGAGCCCTTTAAACAATTCGACCCCCTTCCCTGGACCCCCAACATTGATTCTACTCTACCCTCCATGGCTAGCAGCCGCGAACAGGGAATCCGGGGTATCATTGGTCGCCAAACAATGAACCCGAAGCCCGCCATCCGCGACCGGCGCAGAGAAGAAAGCGCACGGCGTGTCCACGGGAAGATGGAGGAACGGCCTCGCTGCCCCTCCAGTCTTTCTATCCTAATGGTGAAGGAAAAACTTCGATGGTGAACAAATCACTAGGACGTAGAATAACCGTGGTACTAAATGTTTAACTTCTGATGTGACTTAAGCAGTGTGAAGCCAGCCTCAAAATTAGCCTATGAAAATCTAAACAATCGCACTTTATTTCGTCGGAGGTATTAAAGGGGCACGGACAGGTCAAAATTATATTATTATTATTACCTTATTATCTGAAACGATTGACAACGATGCGTGGACATTATCCTCAAAATTCGAAACTAGTGTACGCAGTATTTGTGAAGTAAAGAAACTTTTCCAAAAGCCAAATTTGAACTTCCCGCGCGATCCGCGCCTGTGCAGTGACCTCAAAGACTGAGTCGTCCTGCAACTCGAACTTCTTTCTCTTCTGCCCCGGCCCGAAGTGTCGTGTTCGCTCGCGTCTGGCAATCGATTGCTTGCCTCCGTGTGCCGCCCATCGCTGTGAGCAGACGACGCTTCACTTTCCAGTATGAAGTTCTTTGAGGACCCTTTGAGCTCTCTCAAATTCTTTGAAATGGAATGAGGTCGAAGAAAACGCGCCTTGGACTTTTGTGAGCTACGTAAGGGTCCATGTCGCGTCGGTTCTGCGTGAAAGGTTGTCCCGCCGGAGCCACAACCAAAACTACGGTACACAGACACCAAACCCAGTTGTTTTGACCTTTGACGATTTCCTTTTCGAAGTCTGGTAGGTCGCAAGGAACCTGGACAAGAGAACTTTGTTCGATTCCCCGAGTCGCCAATGATCCTCAGTGCTCCATGTGCCAAGCGCTGCGGCGCCGCCAAGTTTATCGAGGGAGGATAAAAAGCCAGGCGACATAACTCCGGGCTCCGATTTTCGATACTTCAGAAAGAAGGGCCATAGTGCGTTCGCAATTGCGTTAAAAACATGTTCTACGAATGCCATTCTTAAATATTACAAAATGTCGTTTACAAAGTTTCTAAATTTAATAATATTTTACGTCACGAAGAAAAAAAAAGGCGAGGAAATTAGAAGCAGACTGCCCTTTCACACTTCGGGTACTTCATATTATTTGATTGTGAAACGTTTGATATTGCCTGTGCAGATTGCAAAAGATATGGCGAAATTCACGTTTGAATTCAAATTCAATTAAATTATGATCCTCTTGAAAGTACCTTTGTTGTGTAGTTTTCTGCAATCCGTTTAGAAAAAATTTAGCACACACTTGAAATATGCTAGTCACTATAAACATTAGAGCCTTCTCCCTGCTTGTATAAAAATAAAAATGTTTTCGTAAGGATCAACACTGAATTATACTTAGTTTTGTTATTCCCGCGATTCTAAATAGTACTTTGTGTATCCTTCACCAATTCCGGCGTGATGCGACAATGTATCACGTTTCGTCACATTAGGCAAACATTCCCTACAAAACATTGATTCAATATTGTGGCGAAATTGTTGCCAAGAGGCTATTTATAAATGTTGCTCAAATATTCTTTATTCAACGTTTCTGGAACATTTGTCTATGTAATTTAACTTTACACAACGTTCAGCAACATTGAGCTAATGTCACACAAAAAACGTTTCTTTTAAGTTATTCTTCAAATGGCTCTATAACGTACCCGGACATGTCCACGCGTTTTATTGCATTCATGACATTGGAGTAACGTTTTGGCAACATTTGATGCTAGTAAGAGAAGATTTACTGCTTCTTAATGGAGCTTTACACCAGTTTCTAGCAGGGGTCGTTGAGAACTTCGGTGTCCTGCTCGGTGATCGGAAGGCTGCATCGTTGGCCTTTGCCGACGATCTTGTCTGATCGCTAGGTTGCCCC